TGAAAACACGCTTTGGTAATGTAGTGTCCGGCTTCTTCTGTGCAAGAACAGCTAAGCAGACAAGACCCGAGCTCACCGTTTCTTCCGTCCAAGACTCTGCCACAGCCTCCATCAAGCTATCGATGACCTTGTCGTGCAGAGACGCTTTTTGTGCAATGGCCACGCAAACCATGTAGCACCCAATGACCAGCTCTGCTACATTCTTCATAGCTAACCCGTCATTCAAAACCGGAAGAACTCGCATAATGATATCATCGTGGTTTTCCTTCTCAATGTTTCGTCGACCCGAACGCGCTGAATCCAGCATACCAGCAACAGACTCTGTTACGATACCCGCCCAAAATGTCAGAAGCGCATGGTGGCCGGCTTGTTCCCTGCTGACTTGGATGGTGTATCTATTTAAAGCTGCGAAGAATGGCTTGTTTGTGGTAGCACTGTGCACGAGCGGATGGCGCGGGGGATTTATTGAGCTTTTCTTATAAGGATTGAGAATTTTAAAGGTCGGGGTCAAATCTTCTGGGAGTATCGACAGTAGATTCAGGAACAGAGGGGTGGTGTGATATGGTAGGAATGTGAGGATCGTATACTCCGTGTTATATTCGTGTACCCTGCACGGTCTGTTAGCCCATGGTTGTCGAACAGTTTGGAGCTCGGGGTCGATTGATCGGATCCATCGTACCGAAAACGCCTAACGAGCCATTCAACGGCCTTCACGGCAGGACTCAGCAATAACTTCCCTCCAACCAAAGCAAGAAAAGTCTCCAAAACTGCATCTAGCTCCTTATTCTGGGCAGCGTTCATCTCCGTCCGCTCCTGCGCCTTGCTCTGTTCGCTGAAGATCGTGCGCTCGAATTGCGCAAATCGAGGATCCAACTCGCATAATTCCTTGAAACCTTCGTTGCATATATCATAGACCGTATCGAAATCTTGGGACCCAGCGACCTTTCTGTCGAAAATCAAAGATTGTGAATGCGCTATCCTCTGCGCCTTGAGGTTTAACTGGTTGGTCGAGTTTGCCGCAATCTGCGACAGCTGCGCGGCGAGGGACGATGCCATCTTGAAGCGTAAATTGTTTCTTAACCGTATTTACAGCAGTAACCCATCCCTCAGAAACACACTTCTCAAGCTTGAACAACAATTCAATCTCCCCAGGCGTATTGGGTTATTTTTTCACGCCGGCACGGTGGGTGATCGGAGTAGCTTTTTTTTTTACTGCCGCCTCTCCAACCAGAAAAAATTGCGGGAAGCGGAGGCGGAGTTTTTCCAGTGACAACCACCAAACTACTGATCCTCAAAGCTCACGATGCCTCACGTTCAGGAGTATGGATTCCTCTAGCTCTCAGGTTGGTCCCTATTCATGGAAAATGGAATTGTCATTGCAACTAATTTGAGCGTTATATTTTTTTCTAGCCGGAGAAGAAGTCCATCCCACGGTTCGCCAGCTTCAAGCCTCGACCAGCGCCTCCACCCGAAGCTGATCGGCCTCCCGAGCGCCGCAGTCGCGACAGCTCGAGAAAAGAAGACAGGCACGGACATCACTCAAAACGACACCGTTCGAGACACAGGCATCACCGAGACCATTCCAGCTCTAGAGATCATCGAAGAGAACGTAAAGACATCCGTCATGGCCATAAGGAGGCGTATCACTCCGATCGAGAGCTTATTCCCGAGCGGTGCTCGGCGCCGCAAGACACCGTGAAGCTAGAGGAGGAGACGTCCGATCTATATGTTGTGGATCGTAAAGGTGATAGGTACAATATCATATATGGTACTATTCATCGTTACAATGTTCCACTTTACCACCGGATAGGTCGGGGTAGCGTGCTAGGCCTTCCTCCGACCTATAAGATCGATCGCGATACCGCCGAAGGAGACGCGTTGATCATAAAGGCAGATGCCTGGCGCTCCGATGGTTCAAGGACAAGGTCGAAGAGTATTATATCTGGGGTGAACACACAGAAGACGAAACTACATCGGATACGACCAGCGCCTACGTTAGATGCTGCTGCAGACGCCTCGAAAGATTATCTCCCACTTAAGGCTTCCGTGCATCAGAAACGCAGCGATGCCTCAGGAGATGAGGGCTCAGACGACGAGAAATATGGCTATCGCTCAATTCATGGAAAGGCGAAGCATGAGGATAACCTTCCTAGTGACATGGAAGAAGTATCAGACACTGATTTGAGTGGTGACGAGACGGTGCGAGTCGACCCTGATAAAGAGATCAAACAGCGCAATGTCGACTTGTCCAGGAATGTTGAGCGCAATCCCACCGATGTCCGTGCATGGATTGACCTTGTCGAGCATCAGGAATCTCTTCTGAGAGGCTCTGAAGGAGAAACGAAAACCCTCACGTATGCTGAAAAGAAGAGCCTGGCCGATATTAAGATATCCATTTACGAGAAAGCCCTGAAAAGGGTTGGGGACCATGCTTCTCGTGATCTCCTTCTACTGGGAATTCTAGAAGAAGGCGCCAAACTTTGGGACACGAAGAAGCTTTCAGCACGGTGGCAGGCTGTATTGAAATCAAACCCTCATTTCATCAGCCTTTGGGTCAAATACCTGGATTTCAGGCAGACTGAATTTCTTGGCTTTACTTACGAACGATGCTATGCTACGTTCATTGACTGTATGAGGTTAAACAGGTCTGCATCTGACAACCCGGAGAAATCCCATGTTCAAGTCTACCTCTTCCTTCGCTTGACACTTTTCATTCGGGAAGCAGGGTTCGCCGAACATGCAGTGGGTCTGTGGCAAGCAATTCTAGAGCTTACCTTCTTTCAATCAGGGACGATGGACTCTGCCACTGATCGAGAGGAGGCGCTGTCGGCTTTCATGGATTTCTGGGATTCTGAAGTTGCGCGTATTGGTGAAGTTGGCGCAAAGGGCTGGCAGAGCGGCCATAATACTCTTTTAGAGCCCAGATCCTTCACGCCGCACAATCGAGTCAACTCCAAGCCTATATTCGCGTCTTGGATGCCATGCGAGCGGGAACAAATCCACAACGCTCGCCTTCCAGCTCGCAGCTTAGATGAAGAGAACGATGATCCTTATCGTGTAGTTCTCTCGACCGATCTTCGGGAGGTCCTATCACTTGTATGGGGTTTGGCATCAACAGACGTATTGGTTGACAGCTTTTTATATTTCTGTCATCTTCCTCCTATTGCATTTTCCAGTGACTCGAGGAAAACCAATCATTGGATGGGTGACAGCTTCTTGCGAAATGAGTTCATGAGCAGCTCTGATTCCGCGCTTGATCGCTGGGCTCCTAAATACGATGCTGATACTAGGAATACCGCTTCGGTGCCGGTCTATTTCCAGAATTTTGTTCATTCATTCGATACTCTTTTCGCGGACCACGAAGCATGGTTCTCCTCCATCGGCCCTTGGGCTACCACCGTACTGAACTCTCAGTCCGATGTCGACCCTGGATGGGTTTCCAAGGTATTGAGATCTTTGGTAGAGGCGATGCCACGAAATGACCATTTGGCTGCATATTCGATTGCAGTGGAGTTTGCATGTGACCGCAGCAAGGCAGCAAAGTACGCGAAATCCTTACTTAAAAAGTGGCCGTCCAGCCTATGGCTCTACAACGTGTATGCTCTTATTGAACGTCGCTCAGGAAACCTGGAGGCTGCCAACCGTGTGTGGGAGACTACTCTATCTATGAGCCAAAACAGTAAGACGTTTACTGAGGGGGAGAAGGTCGATTCTGTTCTCCTTTGGCATACTTGTATATGGGAAATGCTAGAAGCTGGGAGTTTAGATTATGTATCTTATCTCTTCAATTCTATGCCTCTGAGCAGTCCTAGCCTGAAGGCTCCGGTGGATCCCAAACAATACATACTCAGCCCGACAAGCCTGCTGAAAACTCATAGTGTAAGTAGGCACGCTCTTTCATCTCTCGCCACTATGCTAACTCATAGCAGCTACTGTCAGATAACCAAGAGGCCTTGCTTGCAGCCGGAAAAGCCAACACTTTCGTGGCCTGCACAGACTGTCTAGCAATACTAGCATACCTTTCTAACTCCCGGGATCTAAATAAAGCCCTCCAGCCATACAGCGACGCACTCAACAAACTTGCAACATTGCCAGCACAGTTCAAATCATTTAAATCCGTTTCTACTGAACTCCTCCACCAAGCGCGTGCAAGACTCCTCTACTATCACGCCCGCACAAGTGGCATATACAAGCCCTCCCAGATCCGTGCTCTGCTAGCAGATAGCATATCTTTATTCCCTCATAACACGATATTTTTGTCCCTCTTTGCTTGGAATGAATCTCGATTCCGTATCGAAGAGCGTGTCAGGGATACAATCATGGACATAACGACGAAGGCCCACAACCATGCTGATCAAATTCTCACATCCCAAGTACCAATCACATCACACTTATTCTCCATCTTCACCGAGCTCAACCGTCCTGTGTATGCCGGTTCTACACCATACTCTGTCCGTGCAGCTTTTGAAAAGGCTATTGGCGACCAACATCCTTCAACCTCAACACACCATAACACGCTCTCCACCGCTCGCTCCAACCTCACACTCTGGAAACTCTACATCCTCTTCGAGCTATCTCAACACGATATCAAGCGTGCCAAAGATGTCTTTTACCGTGGCATGCGCGCCTGCCCTTGGTCCAAAGAACTCATCATGCTTGCGTTCAGTCATCTTAGGGCAGATACCGTCGGGGAGCAGCATCCAAGCGCATCACGGAAGGGTGATGGTATGAACTTTTTTGAGTTACGCAGTGTGTATAATGTCCTGATAGAGAAGGAATTGCGGATTCATGTCGATATCGAAGATGAGTTGGACGAGCTTGTGGCAGAGATGCAGCAGAAGACAGCTGCTCTAGGATTGCCAATTGCCATGCCGGAAGACGCCGATAGCGAGGATGAGCGGATGCAACTATGACAACCTCTTATTTGATTACGTGTATCATATCAGTCCTTAACGTATGAAATACAGGAAAAGATACCATAACCATTCATCCTAGCAAACTATAGAGTGAACCATTCATTCATGACTATATACTGGTCTACTGTACAGGGCATTGCATATCATCAGGTACATACACTAGTTCAATGACACGCAGCTCGCATTGTCGAAAAGGGGAAAGATGGTGATAAAAGAAAACTCGTAACTCATCACAATAAAGCCACCAGAGCCCAATATGCCCAACTCTGATACCCAAAAACAAAACGTTATTAGAAGTGCTCTTTCCAGAACTTGAATTTAATATCCTTAGTTGACGATGCCGCGGCTGCATCTCTGATTTGCCTAGCAGCGGTATTGGGCCCACAGAAGTAGACACCGATCTGCGTTACGAATTCGGCATATAAGCCAGGCATGTATGTTCCGTCTTGGAGACCATCGCGCATGGCAGTGAAAAGACGCTGGAAGTTCGGCCGGCCGAAATTGGTCCGACTCTTCAGTTCCGTGAGCGGGTCGACCTCCTGGCCGACGGAATTGAGGTAGATGTTTGCGGTAGTGTCGTCATCTAGACGTTGTGTAAGGTAGGTGTGAATACGCAAGAATTCCACGCGCCCTTCATTTTCTGCCTCGTATGCAGACTGGGATTCAAGTGAGGATAGGAGAGACTGGAACCATTCGAAGGAAGAGGTATCTCTGCAAACCCAGATGAACTCAACACGACGAAGACGGCGGGGTGGGTTGGGTCCAGCGCGCATATGCCAGATGTTCTTTAGGATGGATGCCCATGGCGTGACACCGATGCCAGTTCCAATGATAACAGCGATTTCGTTTTCGAAAACGTCCTCGGCGGGGGCTCCGTAGGGTCCGTCGACGCGGAGTTGAGGCATCTTTTGTCCGTTTTCGAGGGCAACCTCGTACATTCCGAGGGGGTCGAGTCCTTCAAGATCTCTGGCTTGCGCTGGTCCACATCCAAGTGCGTCGCCGAGGGCCCGTGTGAAGTCTCCCACCTGACGGACATGGATACTGATGTAGGGGTCAAACGGGCAGGAGGTGATGGTAAAGGGATGCCATTGGTTGCTCGACACCTCAGGGACTTGGATGAAGAGCCATTGGCCGGCCTTGTACTTCATACTCTCCTTTCGAAATTGGATTTCCATGGCGTCTGTATTGATTGTTAGGCCGTCGATGTGTTGGGCAAAATACCATTCTAAACATACCGTACGGATGACGAATCACCTTTGTTATTATCGTTTCACGCCGAGCTCGAATTTCACGATAGAGCCTTTCGAGGAGGTAAAGACCACCTGCTACTAGCTCCCATCTCCATCCTTCGTATCCGATACAGTGGTTCCAAAAATCTTCACCCGCGAAGGGGGAGTATGGGTCTGTAGAGTCGCGAACAAAACAGCCCGTGGCGTGAGTGTAGAGGGCTAACAAAAAGGGCACGAATAAGTGATGGGTGTACCAGAAGGTCTCGAACGACTGCTGGCGGATCCGATGATGAGCCGTAGTATACATTAGCATCATGCAAAACAGCATTACATGACCTGTAATCCCTCCTGCTTCAGTGAAATGTATTTGTACGGCTGTAACGGGTCGAATGTTGTTCTTCTCAACATTATAGAAGCTATTGCGTGTTAGAGCTATGGTGGTTTCTTTGGGATCCTTTACTTACTTGACATAATGAGCGGCAACATGGAGAATGGTAAAGATAAGCAGAGAGTAGCTGACTTGGCGGTGGAACCATATTGATTCATCCAGCGGTAGCCATCGGATTCTAGGCCTGAGAGTTTTGACAATGTTCCTGCACATAGGCAACAGAATCAGGGTCCCATCGAATGTCAATACTAAGCCTGCGCCTCTTGAAATCCAGACGGAATATTGCAGGGCATTGAGGGCATCCAATCTTGAATTCTTTGCTTGGAAATACCTAAGAATTCTCAGTGAGCTAGTCGGAAGATCATGTTGGCCGCCATACATACCATCCCAGTGCAAACACAAGAATATGAGAACCCCAAAATATTATATAGAACAAGATCTTAGAGCCGCTAAACAGAGAACCCCATGTGTATGACATGCTGACTCACGTGGAATGAAAAGCAACGTAGTCAATTCACTCGGGCAGCTCTAGAGAGAACTAAGAACAGGTAGCTGCGTCATCGACCAGCAATGACTGGCGGTACGAGAGGAGAGTCGATTTGTAGCCTCAACGCCTTGGGAGACTTTCGGAAGTAAAATGTGTCTGTGCCTCAGATCAGGGGAGCAATGTTTGCGTACGAATAGCTCTGATGTTTGCAGTCTGCAATCCATGCAACTTTGATCTTCTCTTTGCTGACTCAGGTATTATTTTTGAGAGAAACGTAAGAAACGTCGATATTGATCGAGCCCCCTTAGCTGTGATAGCGTACGAGGGCGAGATATCAAGGTTCCCAGGACGTATATGTATCAGTAACTTTTGCCTTTTCCCTTTGATCCTTCGCGATATCATGTGCTGGGCTTCAGCGATCGTAATGCTCAGTGACCGATTAAAGCAACTGAAAGCAAAGCCACACACAAGAAGATTATGACACTAAACAACAATGGGCTGGTGCCAGGGCATGGCGCGAGTCAATTCGACCATTGTTAGCTTGACAGTTACAAGGTCATGAACAGAAGCGGTTTGAACGTTGAGAGAACCAATGTGGGGTCCAGTGGTGGAGGTTCGATATTGTTTTTTCCTTTTGTTTTTTTATTTTCTATTTTACTCTTCTTTTGTTTCCTTGGTTCCGGGGGTGTGGTTTTGGTTGCAGGGAAGAGGGAGGGGGAAAAGCCACCGGTCGAGGGGGAAGAGACTAAATATGCACCTTTTGCTATATTTACTCCATCCACTCACTAGCCACTACCTTAGGGCATCGAACATCCAGTGACTTCAACGCTATGTGCACCACTTCTACCGATGTATGTACTTACCCAAAGGATGCCTCAAAACCCCCAAAATACGCTATGGGATGCCTTCAATCTATCTAATCGTATGACTCGGTGATGTGCCACAGTCTCGAGTCAGAAGCGTCTGTTTGCCCCCGTGGGATTCTCATTGAGTTCAGCCTTGCTTCTCGTATCCTTGGCCAGAGGATGAGCGGCTTGATATCTATCACAAATAGCTCTGAACCTTGATTAGCAAGTTATGCCACTGTCATGTTATTCCTCCCCGCTAGCTTGACGTTCAAAAATAGTAATCAGGAGGGGCCATCGCTATCTCTTCCGTCAAAATTCTTCTGATCTTCTCATATCCCAGTGAAAACCATGTGGCTCTAGCATAAGTCGAGAATGATTGGAGTCCAGCACGGCCTTGGCATCACTGTAGCTAACTTACGATTTTTCTTATACTCATGCCACCAGATGATTTGCTTCTTTGAGTGTGGAGACCCTGCCACTCATTTTGAGGTTGCCCTATGAGAGGCGCTCTGCAAGCGCGCTTCCCGTCGCACGGTCTAGCCGAGTAGCAACCCCGTCCATCGCATGGATTTATTGTATTGAACTGAGGTCACTGCCAAATATAGCTCTTTCAATCGTTTCCCAGCATAAAAGCATTCAGGAATTAGTCCAAAGTAGCAACCATCTCCGTGCATATTCTGATTTCCACTGACGGTTAGGCCTTGGCGTCAGGAGAGCCCAAGATATCCGAACTCTCGAGGTGATGTGGACGAGGATTTTGGACTGCTCGGCTCTGCATGATGGACACCTTGTCACATCCACCCCATAGCTAGTGTAGTCTACTCGGTAGTAAACATTCATAATTCAACTAGTTGGTGATCTAACGTAACGACTGGCGGTAATACAGAAAAGACGGTGAGACCAATAATTATCTGCACCTCGAACAATCGCCTTGAAATCCTTTGGACTTTGTCTTCCCTTTTTTTTTCTCTTAATCCTTCTATGTGTTGTATTTTGTTTATGAGACAACATTGAATGGACATGAGTGCTTGTGCAGATATGGCTGTGTAGCATCAGTTACCGCCAAGGCTGAACAGATATCGGGCATGGAAATACGTAGCAGTAATCAGGAAATTGCTCCCCGCTTCTTGGGTCTTCACAAAATCTTCCCGGTCAAAGAGCAATGACCAGGCCCTAATTAATAGCATGGGGCTTGTGCGGTCAATCAGAATGTGGGAGAGGCACAAGTATCGGCGACTAAAGTGTGTTCCCGTAAATCTCCTGCAGGTTGCGCTCCACTGTCACGCACCGTCGCGGCGCTAATGCACTGAACACCTCCCATCTCGCCGGTTCTTCCTTCTTATTTGCTAGAGACCATTGCTTTGCGCACGTAGAAAGCGCCCAACCAGGATTTTCAATAGTGAAAGTGCTGGGATTGAAATTCGGTGCCACAACGTCTCTACTTTGCTCCAAATCCAATCATGAGCGTCGAGAGCTCTATCCCCGTGAAGAACCGGAGAGGAGAATATGTACTCTGAAGCAGTATCAGGCTTCCAATTAGCTCTTGGTCTCGAGCGGTTCTTGAAACGAATCCGCGTATCATATCCACTGTGCGGAGTACGATGGGATTTCATGCGCGCAGACGAATAGGGTGATGGGACAATAGAGATCATGTGGTGTCCCTCGTTAGGCGCCGGGAAGCTATGTATTCCTTCTTGTCCCTCCATCTACCATTCATACCGCTTCCATGGACATGACTCTCTGAACTCCACAAAGGACCGCGCTCGATCCTGCCCGCATTGATGTTTTGTAATGTGATTTATCATTTAATCTTAACTTTATCTACTACTATCACATTCGGATCCAACCTGTTCGCAGAGTAACAATCAACTATATACGATTTCACTTGCCATGTTATCACTGGGCCTTACTCTGCGCGCAACTTCAATTGATATAATCGATGACTAGGACAGTTGGCCACGCTGACAAGAAATCTATCGACTTTCAAGTCAACCTCCATTTGCTGGACGGGAGTGTCTCAGTTCTCAATCTACGTGGTTGCCGAGGAAGATTCGGATTGCCATGGGAAGGCTTATCAAAAACCACTGGGCCCGCTTGATAATCCTCACGGCCGCAGCATGTATGATGACTTTCCCCTGCTGGATAGAGACCAAGCTAATGCGTTCCACCGATTCACAGATCAAGTAGGCAGTGCTATCGAAGGTTTCATCTGGCCAAAAGTGTTCTGGGATTTCGTGACGAAGAACCTCGACGGCGCAGTAAAACCGATCCCGGTGTTACAAATTCTCAATCTGCTCATGGGATTGCTCGGTCTCGCATGGGAATGGCCACTGAAATACTTTGCCGGGACTTTACCGCACCGCAGTATCGAGTTCCGCCTTATCCTATATCCTCTTAGCGCTCTACTTTCTATGCTCCTATACCAGGGAACCGATCCCGCCATCTATTACCTTGTTGGAATAGGCGTATACTTCTGGGCTTATTCAGAAGGCGAGGTTCGTACATTTGGAAGAAGCTTGAGTCACAGAGATAGCATGTCTTACAAAGAGATAGGTTGTCTGCCCGGTACCGTGGACCTTACCAAAACGAAATTCCCTCAAAGTATAACGATGCGTGTTCAGCGCTAGAATTACGACCTAATGACTTGAAACGATATAATTAATGACTATTTGTGTGGTTATCGGCGTTTACCCCCGGTTCCTCAAGAAGAGATATGAGTAGCCAGCAATGGCCTTGTCTTATTTCAGTCCGATCGTCTCTGTGCAATTGCGTTCAACCATTATCGATACCCACCGATAGCGAGACACAGAAGGAGAGGACGCCGAGAAGAAAAGAATACATGGAGGCATTGTCACCGCGATCAACAAAAAAAGTGATCGAAGTCAAGCCCATGAAGCGCAAACCTCTATACCCCAAAGCAGCTGCTCCAAGCCAGTGACAATTAATTGGGCACAGTACTCCGTACATACTAAAGCGATGAATAATAGCCGTATTGGCGACTTCAGTGGGTATAGTATCTTGGATCATGTACATATATACATATATATTACCTATATATACTAGTGCTAGTCTTTAACAAAGGAGATTCTAAGACCAACTGGGCTGACCACAAAGGTTCTCTTTTTTGTCTTGGGAAACTAACTGCCTGAATAGAATACGACAGCCTCGGTGCCTGGATGCCTTGCCACCTTGATGCCTCGCCACCCTAACCTGATGGGGCACTTTATGCACGTGATGGACAATACACAGTATGACTGGCCGATTATCGCTCTCCCATACTACTAGGAACCAATTCTCCTGTGCTCGATCTTTAATAGAAGAAAATAGAATCATCACACTAACTATTTAACAGCTTATAATGATATAAAGTCTTCTAAATATTCTCTAGATTTCACCTTCTCCAAAATTTTCTGCGAACTGATACCAACCACCACTAATCCCAGTCAAAACTTCCATAATCACCTCGTGGAATGTCGCCTCCAACTTCCATAACCCTCATCAACGAGGAACTCCACGTCGAAACAGCCCTCGCCACAGATGATACTGAAGACGTTCCCGTTAACAAGAAAACCAGCTTCAACGGCAGACTAAACCAATACTTCCACACGTCCAAGAATATCCCCAACCCTTCAATACAAGATACACTATTCAAACGAAAGTCTGAATCAGAGTCCAACGACCAATTTAGCAACGACAATGATTCGAACTCTAAGCGAAGAAAGAAAGCCACTTCAACCACCGTCCTTAATCTCCCGCAACGGATAACCCGTTCTCGCTCCGCATCATCGTCGCCGGCTTCTTTCGCCTCGCCGTCCCCTTCTCCCGCTACGGAGCCAAGCACGCCAGGTCGTTCTCGCGCTCGCCGTCAGCCGTCTTCGCGCAAGAGTACACCGACATCGTCCCCTGTCTCGCTCCTTCGCGACACCATCCCAGCGAACCTCACCCTTCTCCTGGTAGGCGTCAACCCGGGTATCATGACAGGTGCCACGGGGTACGTCTACGCCCACCCATCGAACCTATACTGGAAGCTCCTTCATTGGTCTGGGATAACGGCGATTCGCCACCCTCCCTCTGATACCTACCGGCTACCGGAATTATATAATATCGGAAACACCAATATCGTAGAGCGTCCGACCCGCGACGCCAGCATGCTCAGCAAGGCGGAGATGGACGCTGGCGTGCCTATACTAGAAGAGAAAGTGGCCAAGCAACAGCCGGAGGCCGTTTGTCTTGTTGGCAAGAGTATCTGGGAGGCCGTATGGCGGGCTCGTAAGGGTCGAGCGATCCGGAAGGAAGAATTCCGCTACGGATGGCAAGACGAGTCAGAGAACATGGGTCGGAGTGAGGATTGGGACGGGGCGCCGGTGTTCGTTGCTACCACTACTAGTGGACTGGCAGCTGGGATGAGCATGGCAGAGAAACAGGCTGTATGGAACGAACTCGGGAAATGGGTGAATAGCCGACGACAAGCCAAGAAGAATACCCCTTCAATGTAACTATATACAAGGATCTTAGAATTATACAATTACATGAGCAATACTACCTTCGTACTCTTTTAAGTCTAATGTACGGTGATGCAAAGAGGAAATCCCACGGAACGAAAATCAAAAATAAATAAGTTCCACTCAGTGGAATCATTTCATTGATGCCATGATTTATGCATGCATATTCTCATCCATCCCATCCCAAGATACATAATAACATTTAGATAAAAATACCCCGAAAAACAACCCAATCCATGGCTCATAAAAACATGCTTTGCTCCACTAAATTTTAAAAAAAAAATCACCGGGCAATGCCAACGGGGCCGTTAGCGACATTGGTATCATCCTGGCGTTCCCTCGTCTAGAAGTATAAGTTAGCATCGAATTTCAGGATGGAAGTGAGGGTAAGGGAAGAAGCGCATACCACAGTAGCCTGGTATTCACCGTTCTCCAAGATCTTGATAATGCACTCATCCTCGTTTGAAGTACCGAACTCGGTCTCCAGGATACCCTTGCTAGCACCGTCCATGATGCCTTGAGCACCGTGCCTAGTAAAGACGGATGTTAGTATATGCAATTGTTCTGGGGCGATGGGCGGGAAGGTAGACGGGAGAAACCTACTTGTGAGTAACAAAGATCTTGAAGCCGTTTACCACACTGGATAGTGGGATTGAGCGGTCCTTGCGCCAGTTGTTGAGAATATCAATGCCGTCGACAAAGACTACGAAGTCCTCAGAAGATCCCTTGTAGAAGACCTTGGCGGTTGATTCGTTGGCACGAGGCATCTTGATGTATTTGGAGAATTTAATTGCAGTTAGAGAGAAGTAATTGATGCTTCACCGTTCGGTTTGGAGGTAAAAGTATGAGGGAGGAAAGGAAGTTGGAAAGCAGTGGGGAGGTCTAGAAGCTGTCGCGTGAGATGAGGTAGTATATGATGACGTCACTCAGTGGTGAGGTGGGATGGAAAGTTCAAGATGTCAATGACTGGAGAGTCGTTCACGTAGGAGGATGATCTCGAGACAAATAAAGTAGACCAATATGAGAGTAAGATATAATTGTTCTTTGAAAGTGAATATGCTATTCTATGCCACTTTTGAAGAGGGTTGACAAGGCCTCTAAATAAGGTCGTTTGCTACGGATTTGATGGTCAACGAGCAACCCCTCCGACGTCATACCCCGTGAGAGATGAAATTAAATGACTTACGATGGGCTCCGCTTTTTCTTGCCCCGACCATAATGCAAGGCATATTACTCACTCCGTATGTCAATGATGCACTCAACGAATGCTCGGTGGGGAGATTTTCCCATTATCTGATACTTGCCTCGCCAACCACCGCATTTCTCAGCCCACTTTCCTCCCCCCTGCTGTCTCAGCGAATCGATACGAAACAAATAGATACCTTCCTTTCCGCCATGAAAGGACTTGGACCCTCAACCCCTGACGCAATATCTCAGATACACCCCATCCCAATTGCATCATTATCCTCCACTAGCACTCATGCGTAAGCCCGGGCTTTTCTTTGGTCGCCTCAATGACATGGAATTGAACATGATCCGGATCGATGTTTTCAATGGACTCTCAGAGCGCTCACAATTTCCGTCTCCCTTGTCTGTCTGCTGGCGGCTAAGGCCGCAAGATGACCGTGGGTGATTCCTTAGCCTTAATGTCTTACTGCGTTTTATGGTTCCCATGCTGGATTTCGGAAGACAGCCAACCTTCTTCTCATCGGGAAATCCCCATTTAGCGGGTAAAACTTCGTCTTTATCACTGTCGTTGGACCATTTTCGCTGGGTAGTCTCTCTGGTAGAGTAAAGTTTCTCAACAACAGACTGGCTTCGGGGAATGTTCACGGAACTTGAACATCTGTAGACCCCCTGACGGACAGTAAAGCGCCTCATAATTGTGCCGGGCCGAAAGAGAATGTCGCCTTTCGCTAAGCTCATGCCAGGGTATGGGAGACATTCCCTGGTGTACACCGAAGAGATAATTCTTTCTAATCTTATCCGGTCTTGTCTCCGAGTTGTCAGTATTATCGGTGACTCTGGAACCGATAATTTCGGTCGGTCGAACTCGCCGTCTACATGACAGGCAGCCTGTCCTAGCTTTTGTGGGCAGTGCGTTCTCTTGACCACTACATGCTGTAGGTCGGGCTCAACGCGCGAAATTGCTACCGAGTGGACAGAGGCCGTACGAGAGAACGAAGGCTCGGAACTTGACTCTTGATCCAGAGGGGCTAAGTCCAAGGTCAAAAAGGAATATCCTCGCAGCTCCGAGGAAACTGGTCTTTGCATATCAGCCGATAGTGCGGCTGACTTAAGAAACTCGCTTTTCCATTGCTTTTCTTCGTAAGCGGATGAGGCACTCAAAACAAGCTCAAACTTTTTATTTTGATATTGAAAGACCAATTTCCATGAGAAGAAGCACCCATGGCAACAGAGGCCTATTCTGCGGCTTAGCATAGGGAGGAGAGGGAAAGGGCGAAGGAGAGTATTCTTACCCTTTCCATTCCTCAGAGTATCGATCTTCACATCACAGACATATAAGCACGCGACTACTTCTAAGCTGCGATTGTCATTCTTGATCTTGGCCAGCAAAAAGTGGCTCTTGAACAAGACACAGACCATATAGTCACCTGCAAGGTAGGTTGAAGACTGATATGTGGCATGGAGAACTCCGCAAAGAGCCATGGGTCCCAATTGTTTGTAAATGTGATGAACAGCAACCTGAAATCCGATCAAATTCCGTTCGTACGCAGCCTTCTTGATTTCTATCAATCCAGCTACTTACCAATTTGGGGAGGCTTAGCATCTCTTGTAATAAGAGGGTCCTTTGTACCATCCCTTTGTTGATCGGATTACCAGGAGCATTGTTGATTTGATTGATCATAGTACGAACATCCTCCAAAGCTTGGTGAATCCCGTCATGCGCAGTTGGGTCATCCTGAATATGGGTCCACTTTAGTAACTCTTGGAGCAGTAATGGGTACTTGCAAAGGCGTTGGATCGGCTAAGGCTTCATCAGCATTTGAGTGCACATCTTTTTGTACGGTTAATTCAAACCTTTATGAGGAGGTCATGCAACAGCATCGATTTATTATGTTCGAGGGCCTGGTTCTCAATCGATGCTACTGACTTCGACAAGGCTTCGATACCATTCTCCAAAATTGACCAGTTCGGCACTGATCGACGTAGAATATCCACATCCTCCGTAAGCTGCTCATAATTGCTACAGAAATCCATATATGTTGCAAACGACGTTGACTGCAGATTTCGGTATCAGCACTGCCAATCAAACAAGTTCGGGCAGCGTACTAGTTTTCCAATCTCGACCGCAACTTCCAGTGCTTCATTCGTTTCTGCTGCAAGTGCTTTAAAGCGGGAGAGTACGGATTTCTTGAAATAACGTGTTCTCATGGATATATTCTGAAATGCTCTTGGACTTAGATCAGTAGGATTAAAGCGCTCATGTACGCCATGAGGCACCAATCTGTCATACTCTACCGCAGCAAGGCTAGAAATCGGCGTTACCTTCCGGATTCGTGCCAGAAGGCCTTCGTGTATTTCGCGAATTTGGTGGAGGTTGTGGTAGATCTCCGGTCGTGTGGAGAAAAGGAAAAGCACCTGGGATGATCAATCAGTCAGATTCGAGGTGGACTCTTGAAGCCAATCCAAGGTATACATTAATAAGGGCTTTCAAGCCAAATACGTAATCCGATTCCGTAGTAATAATCTCTCGAAGAACTTTACGCCGCTTAACAGCGCGGTTGTGTGCTTCCTCATCGATCGAAAAGCTCAATGCTGGTCTCAAGCTCTCTATAGACCCACGTAAGTCTGAGCCGAAACTCTGATTCGTACTGTGGGTGGTTCCCCTTGATCTCGCTACACTTTGACTGGCAACGCTCAAGGTACTCGTCTTGATAGTCTCCAGATTGGATGAGTGACCGGAGAGACATTCCCACTGTAGATCCTGTCCTCCTCCTCCTCCTCCTCCTCCACAGGGCAATGCATCAGTATTATCACAGCGTGCCTGCGTAGTGTTCGACCAGCCCTCCACGTATCTTAGACGCTGACAGGGGCGGTAGCTCTTTTTTGCCCTAAAACTGTTCACCCAACGTTTAAACGGTAGGAAACTTGGGATATGCTCTTCTGACGCATGTGAATCGGTTAAATTCCTGTGTTTCGCCTCTAATTCGAAGTCTCCCATGACCAGATGGTGCTTTTCAGCAACCTCTTCTTTGAGGCCATCCATGGTGGTTGATAAAACAACAATTCTATACAGAAAGGGGTAGTCCACGGCGGGGAGAAAGGAGACCCATCCCTCCAGTAAGAATACATGAAGCTCGTAGAACAGAAAACTGTAAGGCACATGCTATAAACGGAAGTCATGGCCCATATTGCATTAAACATAAACAGACCAAGACGGAAGGAAGATAAAATTCACCTTCCTACAAAATCTACATGCGACTGATCATGAACAGCGCAAGCTATGGGTAAGTATGACCTACTTTTTAATATAGAATAAACTTATCAAGTGAAATGTACCTGGAACAAGCTCGCTATCAAATAGATAATATCTACAAAACGCATAAATGAGGTATATCCACCAACGTCAGAATATCCCTATGTTGAATTATTCAAATCAATCGATGCCTATTTATCATTGCGGTAATCGAGAGTATAAGTAAAAAGTGACGGGGGTCTCTTTAGAAGACCATACGCCAAGATTTAATTCAAACTTCCCCCAGATTTCCAGAACAAAGACCCACCAAACCACCACCACCTTATTCTATTACTGTCACAGACAACTCTTCTTGGCCTTCTATCCCAACCACAGCAGCGATGCCTTACTTCTCTTTGGTATTATCTTAGAATGGGAATAAATATGAACGATAATATTCATGCTCCAACAGTGGCCTCCGGTCCTACAACGACCGGAGGGTCTGACCGCGACCCGGCCAAGCTCTCCATGGTCGAATTGATGCAGGAAAAGGAACGTATTGAAGAGGAACTTTCGGCATTAAGCAGTGTCCTTACATCTGTGAGTAATTATATGGTCCCTGTCCTTGAGAATATATCTAATCATCTGGGTCTTTCGCAGCACGGTGTTAACATGAATTCATCGCTCACAACCTTCGACGACTTCCCACGAGCCGATATCGACGTTGCCCAGAGTAAGAATACTTCTCTTTTGTCCAAACTGTCACTAAGCCTAACGCAGTCCGCACAATACGCGCGAAAGTTATTCGACTTCGCTACGACCACAAAGAGGTCATGAAATATCTCGAGAAAGGTATTCACGATCATTTTTCGAATCTTCAACGCGCGCAAGGCGATACATCTTCTGTCAGTAATACAAATGGGTCTAGTGGAATACAATTCAATTTGACTGGCAATTCTTCGTCGGAAGCCACGATACTTGGGCCACCATTCGCAAGAGTGAACAGTGTCGCAGCCGCAAGTCCTGCGGATCAGGCTCGCCTGAAGGCGGGAGACAAGATACGCAGTTTCGGGACCATTAATTGGGTTAACCATGAGCGTCTCTCCAAGGTGGCTGAATTGGTCCAACAAAACGAAGGGGTAAGCCTTAAATCCTTTTCTTTTTGCTTTTTTTCACCTGTATCTGGGCGCGGTTTGTCGCTTAAGGCAAAGGACCAGTTGTACGAATGACTGACTTTAATTCTTTCAGCGTACTTTAATCGTCAAAGTTCTCAGGCAAAATGGGAGTGATGCCACAGAACTGGACTTGGAGCTTGTGCCACGACGGGACTGGGGTGGCCGTGGTTTATTGGGCTGTCATCTTGTTCCTTTGTGATTTGAAGACAAAGGCCTTTGTATTTGACGAGGCATGCGATATGGTTGTTGTTAATGACTAGAGTTGTTTAATGGGACAAGCAAGAAGGCATCACAACGGAGTTACTAATTAGGATCAATGACGATGACTTGAATACTTTTACGAAAAACATCATGGCGGAGGGCCCCGAGATAGCTTCTTTTTTTCCCCCATTTACATCATATCAGTATATTTGTTTTGGTAAAAAGTTCAGTTGCCGCAATCCTGCGGGGCATGTGTGCCTGAGGTTTAATCACGTGATGTAAAACTTGGTGACCGACTCGGGGCAAAAATTCCATCACCAGGTTTGCCTTTCACTTTGTTCCCTCTCTGTGCTCAAAGCCCTATCTCACCGTACACACCGCGTCCTTTCATCTATCATCAGTCGCAACCGTTTGTTGACTTTTGATACTCATCACCTTCTTCCGGGACCTAATCGTTTTTGAGACTTTATTTCACATTTTCTTCTCACATAAACATCAAAATGGCTGAGGCTGCCCCACCGACCTTTAAGCTTGTCCTTGTTGGTGACGGTGGTACTGGAAAGGCAAGTTGGATCTATTTTGTTTAACATTAAAGAGCATTTAGATGTCTTTGTTCCATATCTCATGGTCGTTATCTTTCGGCACAGGAGGCCTTTCTGTCATCACTCTTTATCCTTCCTTCCCCGCCGCCATCACCAGATCTCTTAACCCGATAATGAGGCGCTATCACTAACATCCTTCCTTGCAGACCACCTTCGTCAAGCGTCACCTTACTGGCGAGTTCGAGAAGAAGTATATCGCTACTCTCGGTGTCGAAGTGCACCCTCTCACTTTCACTACCGTATGCCCCGCCTGGGACCCCGCCATCCTGTATTTGGGCGACTAACGATTGTGGTAGAACCTGGGAACCATCCAGTTCGATGTGTGGGATACTGCCGGTCAGGAGAAGTTCGGTGGTCTGAGAGATGGATACTATATCAACGGCCAGTGCGGTATCATCATGTTCGATGTTACCTCCCGTATCACCTACAAGAACGTCCCCAACTGGCACCGTAAGTTCTTTTTTTTTATCTCCTCGGCATGTGAATATCTGGGTAACCCAACGTCTAGGTGATCTCGTCCGTGTCTGCGAGAATATCCCCATCGTGCTGTGCGGCAACAAGGTTGATGTCAAGGAGCGTAAGGTGAAGGCCAAGACCATCACCTTCCACCGCAAGAAGAACCTCCAGTACTACGATATCTCCGCTAAGTCTAACTACAACTTCGAGAAGCCCTTCATCTGGCTTGCTCGGAAGCTGGTCGGCAACCCTACGCTGGTGAGTTGCCTTTCTGCGACCCACTGTTATCGCCTGCTAAGATAGTATCTAGGAATTCGTTGCTGCCCCTGCTCTTGCTCCTCCCGAGGTCTCGGTCAACCCGGACCTTTTGAAGCAGTACGAGGACGAGATGCGACTTGCCCAGGCGCAGCCTTTGCCCGATGAGGAGGATGCCGACCTGTAAGCGTGAGATCGATGAATGGATGGGGCTGGACAACCGTTATGGCGTCCCTCCCAACATGTTGGGTTCGTTATGCAAGGTCTTGAATTACGATACAACGATAGCGATCAGAGGATGGGTTTGCGGATGACGGGGGGATGATTCTGCGTTTTCCATATAAGTACTAGTAGTCTAGACTCTCCACAAAGTTCTTGATTTTTTTTTTGAAACGATAGCACTGTTGACAGCAGAAAAGAACCACAACATGCCCTGTGATTGTTGGCTATTTTAGCATAGCCCATTTGAAAAAACAACAAAAGCATTATCATTTATTTCACAGAAAAGAACCAGAAGAAAGAAAAGACACGGAGTATACTTAGACTCAACTAATGTATAGACTGGATGCACAGACATTATCAACTGTGCCAGTGGGGGATATGTCATTTTCCCCATTCAAACGTGAACAGTAATAATTATGATATATGATACTATACATGATGTCAATATTTCTGGATGGTGTTAGGAAGTGTTGGATACCTAGGTATTGAATATGATATGCCTGATTGGGGAAAGCTGTCGACGCGACCTCAGACGGGACTCAAAATTCACCTACAATGAAGAATAGTAGTAGTAGTAGTAGTAGTAGCTACTGGTGTATGTTCACTGGTGGAGACTGTTTGAGTGCAAGACTTCATATACTAGTAGCCTCCGGCAGTGAATCTCTGATGGATGCAGTCAGACTACATCATTTGGGGTAAGTAGTATAGGAAGGATTAAAACATATGGATCTCAAATATACTATACCAAAGAAGAAAAACAAGTAGATCCTCTAAAACTGTATCAGGGGTAAATAAAGAGCGGATATTAATAGTTCAAGGCCGACGATAGATTTCTGATATGGTATATGTATATGTCGACAATGTGATAGATCACGAGGAGGAGAACGCAAGGGTGAGTAGAAAAAGGGAAAAAAAAATTCTTGAGCTGAATTGATTGCCACTGATAATGTACAGGCACCTACACCAGGCAGCAGCTTCATAATATTCATTCACTATTGATCTTCTTGTGTTTTCTGGCCTATTCTGGAGTATTTTCCCGTCTCCTTTCCTTTTTTTTTTTTTTTTTCCCTTCCTTTTTAAACTTTTACGCCCTGTTCCATCAGAATTAACATCCACTTTCCGCTGCCAAGCGCGATCGTCAATCTACACATCATCTTCTCCAGCGATCACTTATCCCACATCTTACATTCTTCGGTCTTTAATGTCGCACCTCAAGTTAACTCATGTACATCGCAAAGCTGTGAATTGTCCCTGATTCGAAGCCAGAACGCCTTTGTGTGGAGGTGGCAGCTTTGGGCGCTAAGCTCACAAGCACATTCTCAACTTGGACTCATTTACAATGGCTTCCCCAAATGACGCGTCTATAGAAGACCTCCTGGAAGATCTTCAGCTAAACCATGTTATTTTGCAAAGCTTAGAAGAACAACGACCAAATGCCATTGCTGAAAGGCAAGAGATTTTAGATGTTATCAAAACATTAGAAACGCGACTGGCAGAACTACGCGGTACTGCCACAAAGAGCCCGCCACATAGTCACTTTGCTCCCCACCAGGGTCCGGAAAACTCATTTTCGTATCAAGCGCAGTTAGATGGAAGTTCTGGTTCTAGTCCGGTAAACTCCCCTAGGGGTTCACGACAGGGCCAGTCGACCATGTCTCCCCCGTCGCAGCCATTTCGGTCGGCGAGGAGGCTGGCGGAGCAATCTCATCTTCTAGGGCCGTTGACCATTCGAAAGCGTGGGCGAGAAGACGATGATCGTAATCATGCCCACGATGATGGTGTCGAAACAGATTGGACCGATGATCTGGAGCTACCCTTGAAACGGGTCGCAACAAAGAAGCCTTCCTCTAGCCCGAGTCCATTGTCTGTTCGTAGTCTTCAGGGGCAGGGGCAGGATGACGACTTTGACGACGGCATTGACGAACTTCGAAAAGTGCTGGGCTTGGACAGTCAGGATATACTCGAGCTCCAAGACGAACAGCGAAAAGCTGAACAATGGCTCGAGAGTCGCAAGGAACAGGAACGCCTCGACGAGGAGTATGCTCGTAGACTAGAAGGCTTGCAAGAGTCACCTCGACCGACTTCAGCCAGGAGCACTTCATCCACTCACTATTCTGGGTCTTCTTTACTTTCCCCCCCTCCCAGGGTAAACAACGGCACACCATTTCCCGATGTCAATCGATCAATGCCTGGGGCCATGCAGACCCCAGATATTTATCGTTCACCGTTTGTACCGCCTCCGTTGCCTGGGGCAAATCGGCCTGGGCCCCAGCGCCTCCAACCGGCCATCATGCCTGATAGTGATGATAGCGATATTGCCGAGATCTCAGCTCAGGATTTCGAGCTTCTCATCGGGCCTTCCTCCAAGCGCCCTTTCGCATCGCAGCATTCCATCGGCGGCTCGCGTTACTCATCGCAAAACAGCTTTCCGCAACAGCAACCTTACTCCAACCTGTATCCTTATCTAGAGTCAATGCCCGGTCCAAGTGGTATCGGTGGACCTGGCCCTGCATACGGCCCACACGTATTGCAGAACACCATGGCAAGGCTCAGTGCTGGGAAGCAGCTGCTTGAACATGCGGGGAAGTCCATTTTCTGCGGGTTTCCTAATCCCTTCTCATCCTACGATAGCTCGGTTCCTCCCTATCCAGGCCCCACCGGCTACGATATGAACAAGTTGCCGGAGTGGATGAGTGATTACTACGGAGCTGATCCAACAAAAGTCAATGAAGAGATTAAACAACTTCTGGAAACTATTAGACCCGATTCGGATATTTCTACAGAAAACCGTGAAGGGACTCCCGAAGCTCTCAAAGTCACGTTGTTGGAGCATCAAAAGCTTGGGCTGGCATGGATGAAATCTATGGAGGAGCAGGAGCAAAAAGGTGGTATACTCGCTGATGATATGGGCTTGGGGAAGACAATACAAGCCATCGCTCTCATGGTGTCCCGACCTTCTACGGACGTGGAACGAAAACCGACTTTGATCATTGCCCCCGTCGCCCTGATGCAGCAGTGGAAGCGAGAGATCGGAAGAATCTTGAAGCCTGGCCGTCACCAACTCTCGGTCTATGTTTTGCACGGTGAAAAGCGGGCTGTAGGCTTTAGGGACCTGAAGAACTATGACGTGGTTTTGACCACCTTTGGAACGCTGTCTTCAGAACTCAAGCGTCGAGAAAAATACGATGAGCTACAGTCGTCTGGCGCGAACGAACAAGCCCTGTCGAGGGAAACTGCCAAATCTTTACCGTGCCTTGGACCGTCCAGCAAGTGGTATCGTGTGATCATTGATGAAGCTCAGTGTATCAAGAACCGTAACACGAAAGCTGCCCTTGCCTGCTGTCGTCTTAATGCCACATATCGCTGGTGTATGAGTGGAACTCCCATGATGAACAATGTCCAAGAGTTGCACTCACTATTGAGATTTCTCCGCATCAAGCCTTACAGCAATTTGGAGCGGTTCAATCACGACTTCACACGGCCCCTCAAGGGGTCCAGTGCTAATGCACAGCGCAAAGCAATGAAACAACTCCAGGTTCTTCTGAAGGCGGTCCTCTTGCGACGAACTAAAGATTCCAAGATTGATGGGAAACCAATTCTACAACTCCCGCGACGGATTTCAGAAAAAGTGCACGCTGTGTTCAGTGAAGATGAACTAGAGTTATACAGTTCGCTCGAGGCTCGAACTCAACTCCAGTTCAACAAGTATCTCGAGGCAGGAACCGTGGGACGAAACTACTCCAATATTCTAGTCTTACTCCTCCGGCTACGACAGGCGTGCTGCCATCCCCATTTGATTACTGACTTTAGCGTCAAGCTCAACGCGAACACAGATGAACTGGATCTGATTGCGAACGCGAAAGAATTCAATCAGGAGGTTGTGATCCGCTTGAAAAGCAACAATGATGATCTCGAATGTCCCATCTGTATGGATGCCGTTGAAAACCCAATCATCTTCTTCCCTTGCGGGCATAGTACCTGTGCAGAGTGCTTCTCAAGGATTTCCGATCCGTCATTAGCTGTGAGGCAGGGTCATGACGGTGCCGTGGAAGTCAAGTGTCCTAACTGCCGTGGCAAAGTGGACCCGAGGAAGATTACAGATCATGTGTCGTTTAGAAAGGTCCATGACCCTGACCACTCCCATGATCCAGTCGAAGAAGAGTCCGCCAAGCCTGCAGAAGAGCAAGATGAGAGTGATGATAGCGATGACGACAATAGCCTGAGTCGATTCATTGTAAATGATGAGGAGGGCGAGGAAAGTTCGTCCAAGAGGTCCAGGAACAAGGGAAAAGGTAGAATGGCCAAGGCTAAGAAAACCCTTGCCGAACTAAAGAAAGAAGCCTCGAAGAATCAGAAATCGAAGCGCAAGTATCTCCGTCGGCTGGAGAAGACTTGGGTGTCGAGTGCTAAAATTGAAAAGGTCATGGAGATTCTGCGGGGTACCCAGGAGGGCGAGGAGAAGACAATCATTTTCAGTCAGTTCACGTCTCTGCTTGACCTGCTTGAGGTTCCGATTGTGCGTCAGGGCTGGGGTTATCGGCGGTATGATGGTAGCATGAAGCCGGGAGACCGAAACTCAGCAGTACTGGATTTCACCGATAACCCCGACTGCAAGATCATGCTGGTTTCCTTGAAAGCGGGCAACTCTGGCTTGAACCTCGTTGCCGCATCACAAGTTATTATCTTCGATCCATTCTGGAATCCATACATCGAAGAACAAGCAATCGACCGCGCGCATCGGATTGGACAGGTGCGAGAGGTACAAATTCATCGGATTCTTGTGCAGAACACCGTCGAAGACCGCATCCTTGAACTCCAGGATAAGAAACGAGAGCTAATTGAAGGAGCTTTGGACGAGAAGGCCTCCAAGAATATCTCCAGACTTGGGACCCGAGAGCTGGCGTACTTATTTGTAAGTGCTTCAAATTCATTTCCTCGTTTTATTCGAGTCGCTCCATGCTAACTTCATTTCTAGGGAGTCCACTAGGGAGGGGGTGGTTCATATTTTATCTCATCAGCATGGCGTTGGCGGATTTCTGAAATGAATTTTTAATTGGATTCGTATCCTCTAGAAGATACCCAAGATCTATTCACCCCATAATCTCTCACACCTGAATGCGATTGTGCTATGTCATACCATAGACTGTTGTTTTATTAAACAAAAGCACACCTTACTCAAGTCCATCGAAGCTACTAGGAGGGGAGATATGTTATTTTCGGCGAATTTCTGGGCTAATCGCATTGAATCAAGGTGGTCATTCGAGGTGAAATTGAGATTTGGTGTCCTTCTTTTCGCATTTTCTTTTTGGCCTTTCCTCCCGTTCATTTCATTTGTGGATGAATTTACCCCCCCCCCCCTCCCTCCCTGTGTTGATGGGAAGATAGAATGGGATGAAATGAAATAAGAAAGAAAGAAAGAAAGAAAGAAAGAAAGAAAGGTCTCACTATAGTCAACTCCCGTATAACGTGAGCACGCGAGCAGCTCCCTTGTAAATATGTAGTATGGGACAAAGTATTCCGGAGTACATACGACTAGTAATTAGTAAACCTCTTTAGCCGGAAGATTCCTGGTCACAGTCGTTCGGGCTGCTTACCACAATAGGCAATGCTGATCTTCATCTAGTTCATTTGTTTCTCCAGATTCATCGATCAGATTATTGTTGGGGACTCAACCTCCCAGCCATAAATTGAACCAGTGGTCATCTCTCTTTGTAGGGCTCCAGCCCCTCTGTTTCGCGAAGGTCTTTATCATCGAATTGCGGGGCTCTTGTAACCATGTGGACGGAAGTATAGATAGATTCTACCCAAGTATATTCACTCAGTGCAATATCATTTGCAGCCTGATCCTCTACATAGGGCCAGCACAGGCGAGATTGTAAGTCCGGTACTTGTAAGAAGTATTCAAAATTGTAATGTTTCATATATGCCAGCATAAAGCCTGGACGATGATTCAGTGGAAACCAGGAATCACAGGAGTGAGATCCAGGAAAAAAGGGCTCAGTTAAAGCCTCGGTCCGTATGACAAGGCATGAAATCCCGCGACCGCCCTCCATTCACATGCCCACCCCCCGAACACTCCGGGGAAGCTTTACGTTCCTGATTTTTTAAATCCCCAGACTCTTTCTATTTAAATCTTCTCTCTCACTCTCTCCCTCTTTCCTGAGACACACGACTATTCCAACTATCCACTACCTTTCACTCGCCCACTACTATATACATCCTTTCACAATCGTGGTATCACAACTGTAACCATGTCTCTCAAGAACGGTACGTCTCTCCCCGGACATCTTTCACCCAACGACAACTATTTCATATTTCAGTAAATCCCTAACTAACGATAACTTACTATCTAGACGCTTTCCCTTCCTCCGCTGCTTTCGACGCGATCAACGCCGCTCTCCAGAGCGACGCTGCTGAGCGCAAGGACGCTGTCGACAAGGCCAAGGCCATCGTCGCTTTCAACCTGAAGAACGAGAAGGGCCAGGAAGAGAGCTGGTACCTCGACCTCAAGGAGAAGGGCGAGGTAGGCAAGGGTGCTCCTCAGGGGGGTAAAAAGGCTGATGGTTAGTGTCGCCCCGGCGTCTTCCGCTGACTACCTTTGTTTTGGTGACAAAGAAGCTGACTGTATCGCGTCGGTGATTAACAGTGACTCTGTCCCTCTCCGACTCTGATTTCGCTTCCCTGGTCAGCGGCAAAGCCAACGCCCAGAGACTCTTCATGGGAGGCAAGCTAAAGATCAAGGGTAACATCATGAAGGCGACCAAGATGGAGCCCGTCCTGAAGAAGGCCCAGGGCAAGGCCAAGCTATAGATACCCAGTTGCGTTGTGTCGTATTTCAGTTGAATGTACATTTTTGTTCATCTTATGATTATTTTTCTTCTGTTTTCGTTTTCTTTTAATATTTTCTCTTTTTGGTTTGTGTAGGGCAAGAAGCCACTTGTAAAGCCTACGCTCTCGCTCTATCTACAGAGCATACTTAGTATGAGACATGATCATTGCAGATCATTTTCATTTGCCATAATATATTCCGTAACACAATAGGCATGGTGTGTGGTAGGAGCACCAGTGGATAGGTACACTTTCTTCCGTATATTTATTTTTCTGGGTAGTACGAAGATTGTAGCCTCTTAACTTGTATACTTTGCCTTATGATTGTCGTTGTCAACTGATCAAAAATCGTTTGGATGTTAACAACTTAACATGGCATACCCGGAATATATTTTATTGCGGATATCCGGACCCCATGTTGACATCATGATACATGACATCAAATCTTGGACTTAATAAACCGGAGGACCAAGTATCAACCCTTAAAGATAATTATACACTGAGAATACATTTATTTATTGTCATCTATAAAGGGTAGTATGATTGCGTACATACATACCTAGGTGTTGTACAGTTAGTAGTCTGTATGTAACAGCTATGGTAAGTATTACAGGTTGTCTGCTTATTTAGTGAATGAACACCAAAAGAGACCCCCCCAAAGATCACCCCTCCCTCAAGGGCAGGAGCTGTCATATACCAAGCATTGTAATCTGTCATTAATATCCATTGTTTATTTATTTCCTTGCATGATATTGCATTCTCTCGGGTGTTTTCCCATACTATTAGTAGTAGCCTGTCAACCTGCCAAGAGGGTCGCCTTGCATCCTCACGTGACTGTATTTTTTTTTCTATGGGCGACTTTCCCCGTCAAAAAAAGTCGCGAGCCTCTTGTGACGGCAAACCGAAACGAAGCTCGTTCGAGCCACGACTATCCCAATCCAAGGCAGAGCATATCAAAAGCAGGCATCTGCCCTTTTGATATCCTAGAGAGCGTTGTATTTATACCGCTCTGCCTTCTCATCCCTCCCCACCCTCCCCTAACTCCCATCCCGTCGCCTCGCGCTCGTCGCGATCGATCTCCGGGGCACATACCCAGCGCGCAAGCTTCCCGGCTTTATCCCATCTCACTGAATCCGGGCAAGGACGTGACAGTTACTGGAATAATTGCCAGTAACCTAGAGAACGACGATAGAGAGGTGCTGTCATTTGCGTTTTTCGGTTCATCACCCAAACACCTGTTCCTCCGTCTCTCAGACTCGTGCGCCGGTCGCTTTCGATAATCGTCGTGACAACCGGCGCTGGATCCTCAGTTGGAACCAAGATTAAAGCACTAGCTTCCCGGAAGAAGACCAACGCGATCAAGACGCCCACATTGTGGACGAGACATCCGAGTGAAGGGGCTTGAACAGAAATCTAGGAAGGGGGCGAAGACAACTATTTCTTGTTTGTCCGAGGCATTCAACGCCTAGACAGGGAGACTATTAAAATAATAGATGTCGAAAAGATCGGCCCAGGGCCCTCAGGGGGACAAGGATTCCAATTTGTTTGATTTCAATATGAACAGCACACCAGATGAAAAGCCGCAGCGGGCAACCGCTGCGCAAATGGCGCAGAGAAAGTAAGTGGATGGACCTACGTTTGCGATCTGTCTTATACTGTTGGCCTTTACCCGCAACCTACCATGTGTCCAAGTGATTAATTGTATTCTATCTTTGTTTCATTGTGCCGCTTTGTCCTATGCAGCAATCGATTCAACATACTCTTGTCGTTGTAAATCGCATTGTGCTCTAACACATCCATCCTCGACCCTTAAATTATTCCTTATGATTACTTCCCTTGTCTTCTTTGCATATAACTCTAGCGGCTATGGTGGATGTCTAACATATTGAATAGGATTAAGGACGTTCGGAGGCGAGGTCGTCCCAACACAGCTGCCCCCAGTGCCACGGCGTCTTTTGGTGGTCCTTTCAATTCTCTTGATCCTAATACTGTTTCTACACCGTCTGCCCCCCAGCCAATTTCAAATGGGTTTACATTTGGCCAGTCACAGAGCTTCCCCGGTGCCAGTTCAAATCCTAGTCAACCTACCCAAAACGGATCGACACCATTTTCTTTCGGTTCCGGTGGAAGTAACTCATCCTCATTCAATTTCTCTTCGTCGTTTGGTGGATCGGGGTCGACGGCAAGCAATCCTTTTGCTAGCATGACTACTGGCTCCACCAATCAATCGTCCGATGGAGGCAGTTTCTCTGGTTTCAAAGGAAACATGTTCAATATTCCCCCAGCTGGTAGTTCGGCCCCGGCCCAGCAGCCTTTGCCTTCAGGAGGGCTCTTTGGCACAGGATCGCAACAGAACAACACTACCGGAGGCCTATTCGGCAGCAGTACGACCAATGGGTCCTCTGGGCAACCTGCAACGACAGCCCCGGCCACCACAGGCAGTATCTTTGGACAGAACAGTGCTTCCAGCATTGCTCCGTCGACAAATATCTTCAGCCAGTCGGCCTCAAATAAGCCCTCCCCATTCGGACAGTCAACCGCCTTTGGCGAGTCTATGCAGACATCTCCTGATGCGAAGAATAACGGTGCGCAGTCGAAACAGCCTATTTTTGGCGGTGGTGCTTCCCAGTCGGGTTTCGGAACTTCCACCAATTTCGCCAGCCCTGGGGCTGGCTCCATGTTCGGTGGCTCTACATCGAAGCCTGCTGAGACACCCAAGCCACTTTTTGGTGCTAAGCCCACGGAGCAGTCAACTCCATCGACCTCGCTCTTTGGCGCGACTACTCAACCCAGTTCTACTCCTGCTCCCGCTTCATCTACCTCCGCAGCCTCCAGCACGACCGCCGCTCCATCACCATCTATCTTCGGGGCTCCATCGTCTGCTAAACCCGCCACATCATTCCAGAATCCCTTCCAGTCCACAAACCTTTTTGGCACTCCCGCTTCATCAACTGCAGCACCTGCTTTGGAGGATAAAGAAAAGCAAGAGAAGAAACCTGAGGAGGCTCAACCTAAGACTGGTTTCCAGTTTACGGCCTCTCCCGGTGGCCCGTCTTTGTTCTCAAAGAGTGCAAGTTCTGCAGCTCCATCGGCTCCGTCAAGCGGTCTATTCCAGCCTCCATCTACAGGTAGCTTGTTTGCTCCCAAGCCATCTGCAGAGCAGAACATTTCCAGTGCGGAACAGGACAAACCTAAGGCTGCTGAAGGAAACCCATTTAGCAGCCTCTTCACGCCCAAACCAGCTACCCCGGCCAAGCCAGCTGTAGAGCAGAAGCCTTCCACGGAGCAGAAGCCACTGCCCTCTTCTGCTAACGCTTTCGGTAACCTTTTCGCTCCAAAGCCTTCTACACCTAGCGACGGATCGAAGACTAGCCAGCCACAGAAGCCGGCCGCTCCTGCACCGCTTTTCTCGGCTCCCACATCAGGACCTGATACTACTAAATCTTCTGGTCTTTTCGCGCAGTCGCCGTTGTTCTCAGCTCCTACTGTAGGAAATAAGACCCAGGCTCCAGCTGTGAACCCCCCGGCCCCTTCTCAAAGCCCACTCAAGGTTAATGGCACAAGCACGGCCTCATCGGCCTCATCGGCTTCTGCTGCTGAAAAGAGCTCGACAACAAGCTTTGAAGACATCCGACCATCTGGACTCCCTGCTGATCTTGATAAGGCAAGCAAGGAAGAAGTGGAGATGTTGTATCGCATGCGCATGTTGAATGAATGTTTCAAACGTGAAGTGAATCGATTGGATCCTACTAGAGACGACTTTGATGCTCTCGTGCAGTTCTACATGCGTGTTCGTGACACAATTGGAGCGCCAGCTGGTCCCCAGAAGCGTAAAGCTGGAGATGCAAATGCATCTGCTGATGACCATTCCCTTAAAAAGATCAAGCCCTTCGGCCTGAATGCTGCCTCTGACAAAGAAGAGTCATCGCCCTCCCCAGCCACAACTGTGAATGCCTCAGCGGCTACCAGCATCTTCGGAGCAAGCCAAGCGGCCTCGGCCACCAGCAAGAGAAAGGTGGCCGATGAGGATGAGAACATTGCTTCCCCAGGAAAGCGTGTCAACGGAGACTCCACGACGGCGAGCATCTTCGCACAGTCCTTCTCAAAATCCATAAATTCCGAGTCAAGCGATGAGCCGACTAAGCCTAACTCTACTCAATCCGTCACTTCTTCCGCCAGGCCATCTACCCCGGACTCAGATAAACCTGCTTTGTTCTCCACTACGCCTATCTCTTCCCCCCCAAAGCCTCTTTTCGCAGCCTCGACCACGGCAAAGGAAAGCGCCACGTCAACGTCACTGTTCTCGCAATCGGCCCCTTCCTTTAAGCCAACATTTACTGCCTCTACTAACAGCACCTCTACTACCTCGAATCCGTTCGTTATAAAGCCGTCAGGGGATAAGGAAGCTGGTTCTGCGCCCACCCCTATGCCTGGAATGCCAAAATTTGACGCCGGAGCAACAAACTTCTTTGCCCAGTTCAAGGCACAGGTAGATAAGGATGCTGAAAAAGAGAAGGAAAAGCGCAAGGCGGAGGATTTCGATTCCGAGGAAGAAGACGAGGCTGAATGGGAGAAAAGAGACGCCGAAGAACGCCGGAAAAAGCGAGAGGCACTTGAGTCTCAAGCTACGAAACGCTCGAAATTTGTTCCTGGAAAAGGATTCGTTTTCGAAGACGACGAGGAGACAAGTGATTCAGATAAGAAGGAGGAAAAGGCATCTGCTTCGATTACTAGCACCTCGGTCTTTGACAAGAAGACTGACTTATCAGCCACGCCCAACAACATCTTTGGTCATTTATCAGCAACACCGTCTGAGGCTGAGGAGAACGACGATGCCGATGACACTGAGGAAGCGTCTGCCGCCGGTGATGAGCCAGAGGATATGTCCAAGGATACATCCCTTGCGCCCGCAAGCGAAGACGAAAGCAACGAAGATGCGGAGTCCAAAGCGGGTGCTGGCAGTGGCGCTGAGAACTCTGCTAATGACAGCAGTGACGACGGTGATCTGACCAAGGCTCTGAAAAAGTCGAAGCAAGAGAAGACGGCTATAAGCGAGCAGTCCGCCAGTGATACAGGCGCGAGTGGCCGTAGCTTGTTTGACCGTGTTGAGTACAAGCAAGATGGCAAGCCGAAGCGCCAGGACGATGAGGAACAAAAGCCCCTTTCTACGTTTTTCAATTCCTCCAAATATGCGTCCTCTTTCAACTCACCGGGAACGCCAAACCCATTTGCTCCGACTCCCTCTAAGTCTGATGCCGAGAAAGATGATACTCCCACCTCGAAGCCCGCAACGCCGAACCCCTTTGCTGGCCTGTTTGGTTCTCCCTCGCCCACCCCTGCTGCAGGCACCCCATCTATATTCGCCCCAAGCGCCACGAAGGCCGGTACGGATAATACCTGGAAGATGAATTCTCCCATCAAGTTTGCCAGTGACACAAATGCGGCTTCTACTTCGAAACTTAATTCCGCGACGCCGCCTGCCGATTCCTCCAAGCCATTCTCCACACTATTCGGAGCGGCACCTGCTACCAAGACTGCATCTTCTGGTACTGGATCGCCATCGCCTGGCTTCACGTTCGGTGGACCTGCGCAGCCGCCATCATTCCTGGCTCCTTCGACTGTCAGCTCTGCTGCTGCCAGCCGCGCGTCCACTCCTGGAGTTACATCCGACACGGGAGCCGAGGAGTCTGGGGATGGTGATGCGGCCGAGGCTCTGCCTCAGGTTAACCTTGCGCAAAGTCGAGCCGGCGAGGAGAATGAAGATATTGTGGTCGAGACTAGAGCACGTGGCTTGAAGTTCACTAAAGGTGCATGGGACAGTCAAGGAGTTGGGTTCCTCCGTGTGTTGAAGGATCGCACTACCTCTCGCGGCCGTATTATCCTTAGAGCTGACCCGAGTAGCAAGATTGTCCTGAACGCATCCTTGATGAAGCAAATCGATTACAATGTCAATGGCAGCAACAGTGTGCACTTCCTTGTACCTCAGGCCGATGGTCCTCCGGAACAATGGGCAATCCGGGTTAAGAACAAGGAGGACGCGGAACGCTTGGGGACTGCAATGCAAGAAACCAAAACTTAGTTGGCAAAACTCCTCTGTTTACTGCGAACGAACGTGGCACATTGGGTGCAATTGACCACCATCATGATGCTCTTCTTTCCAGGTTGATAATAACTGGTGATGTATTATGGCATTTTTTACTTTACAGTTCCCCTTCCTTCCCGCCTGTCTTATAAAAGCAATTATTGGAACATCTTCAGGTTGAGACGCCGCATGCATGGCCTCCTGTTTCTTTTCCAGGTATCATGATCAAGTCCAATCCCTCACAGCGCCGAATTCTTTTTGTCCTCTTGTACTTCTGACCTTACGACTTCTGGGACCTGTCTTAGCAACACTTGCGTTTCTAATTCGATTTTGAGTTTTGTTTCTTCCCATCTAGTGTTATTGTTCGCCATCGCACTCATGTGTTTATTTCTTTTTTCTTTTTTTCATTTTGTCCTTTTCTGTTTGATCAATCTGAGGCACTTGTGTAACTATCTTGCATGCTGCAATTGCAACCGCATACTCGGAGAGCATCATGTCGTCGTCTGTCCAACCAGAGACGAAAGTCTAGCATAGCGTTTGGGTTTTGAGGGATCAGTGGAATTCAATCGGTTTTTGTTATTTTAGAGACAATATATAACACCGCGCAATTTGCAAACAGTGGTATCGCGACAAATCAACGGAGAATGGTAAACTTCACGTTTCCTGCCCTTCCTACCCTCACGGCCATCTCAACTGAGATAGAAAGTAGCCCACCTTCGAGGCTTGCTCTGACAAACAGACCGGAAATTGATTCCGGTGAGACCAGCTAGCTAGCCCCCTACAAATCATCCCCCCAAATAAGATCTACTCCATACGCTAGTAGCGTGCATCTAACTAATTTTCAAATCAACCAGGAACCCACTCCCAAATACAAACCCACGCCCATTCCAGCAAGATACTTACCTTGGAATTAGCCCACTAATTGATGAGAAACTTCATCCATATTATAACCGGATCCGTCCTTCCATCCTTAGTTGCTTATAGTGCCGTGAACGGGTCTATTGTTCTGGATACGTAGTACTTTATCCCGTAGACCGGGTCCGCTGTTTTAAAAGGGGTAATGTGTCGTATGTTCTGTGGGTTTGGGATTTGGGTATGGTGGCGCTAGTTTGGGGGTTCGTATATGGTTCATTGCTTGGTGTGTTGTTGGATAGAGGGGTTGGTGGATTAGGGATATTGAATGATTTTTTCTTTCTTTCTTTTTCTTTTTTCTTATTCTTTTTGGAAAAAAAAGTTGGAAATAGTATGTGAGTAGGGTTCTAGTAATAAATCTGGGCAGTCGTGTGGGAGTGCATAACACTACTATGTAGTATAGTATGATAGTATGTCTATGCAGTTTCTGATGTAGTTTTAGACAAGACTCCATGTGGGAGAAAATCATAGACTACATGTGGCTCCAATATGCCCTTTTAGAGAGAGAGCTAGTGGAAGTTGATGTACGCTACGAAGACTATCCAGAATCACGACAGGGAAAGAAACTTTTCCGATTTTTTTAATTTAAATGTTCCAACCCAACCGAGCAAGACCCGCCCCGGACGGTATCGTAAAAACAGAGAGAAACCCCATCATTTCATAGAGTAACAAAAGGTATATCTAATATGGAAATGAAGAAGACTTCCCCCGTTTACTCCTCGTCGACGACAGCGGTGTGGAGACCCTTGGTCTCCTTGACGTTGACGGCGTAGACCATGGAGTAGAGCTTCTCCTTGGCGTTCTCCTCGTCGTTACGCTTACGGGAGATGCGGACACGGAGACGGAAAGGAACGCCCTTGACACCGGCCTCCCAGACCTTCTTGTTCAACTGAGGGTCGATGCGGACATCCTTGGTGCCCTGTACCAAGTACACATTGCCGTCAGTCACGGATACTCTTTTGTAACCAATCAGATCTATAGGAAGAAAGAAGGGAACATACCATAGCACGCTCAGTGAAGGCCTTGATCTCCTTGATAGCACGAGGAGCACGCTTCTTGAAGGAAACACCGTGCAACTATACCCACAAAAAAGTTGAATTAGTCTTCCGCCCGAATGCCATCTGGGAAAATATGATCTTGAAAAAAATCTGCGAACAAGATTTGCGGCCATAGAGGTGGACTTCATAAAACTAATTCTTCTTTTTTGGTCTTGGTTTCTTGGGAACGCCTGATAATTGTTCCTCCACACACACGCAAAAGCAGGCATGTTTCATCCCTCCCTTTTTCTGTAGATGTATTCCAATCTACAGAGAAAAGGTTTTGGTGCCAGAAGGATTATTGCAGTGTTCTCCGTCCATTGCCTCCATGTCGAAACTTGAATGTTTGTCTTGTTCCGCAGATCGGGGTTCGATCGATGACAATGCGACCGATGTGTGCAAGGTAGGGACAGAAAAGACTTGAGTCTAATCCTGTTGTGTTTCAACGTACTCTCTTGTGCATGTTGATGGTGTACTCGCGCGAGACGACATCGGCGATGGCCGAGCGCTGCTTCTTGCCGGTCTGAACGGTGGTGGACATTTCTGATTTTTCACCCGCTGGTTAGTTGTCTCAAACCGATTGAGAATTACTTTAAATAGAGCGATGTATATCGCGATATAAAAGGATTGCAGGAAGACTACTCACTGAAGGAGTTGACGAGGCGTCGGCTGTCGTTGGCTGAAAGTGCTGTCGTGAGATTGAAGATTTTCGGACGGCTGTCGTTTTTCCTCGTCGAAATTCAGTGTGTCTCGCTTATCGTCCCGGAGCCCCTCTCATTGGCTGCGGAATAATCACGTGATAGCTTCTGGTCGTGACATGCTTCAAGGAACAGGCAGGTCCTCACACTACTCAATGGCCAATGCTTTTTAATAAGATATTAATCTATCAGCTAACATGAAACAATATTGGCTTGCTATTCTTGAGCATATCCTCTTCACCGGTTAACGACCAAGTTGCTGAATAGGCACTTCATAGATCGAATACCACGTGATCCAAAGGTATAGACAGTCTGAAATGGGTATAGCGTAGATCATCCAGATTCATACATTGCCCTAATTCGATAGGATGTTGTTATGGTCGATGCATCAGTGTATGCTTTGTGGCACCAAACATTCCAATCACCCATCATGAAGCCATAAAATATTGCCACCAGTGCAGATCGAAGACCCGGTTTAGCCACCGCACAGCAAATAGTAACCACAAGCTCATACCATCTACTCAATGGTGCCAGTACCTTGCAGCACTATAATGGAGATAAGTAGTATCCTAACTAGGAAAATACAGAAGTGAGCCCATTGGGTTGTAACGCAGTTTACCTCTTTTTAGGTATTTCAGGACCCGTGGGTACTGAGTCTCGCGCTGTTACCAGTTTTATCAAACTTTATACTAACTAGGTTCGATTAACCGTTATAAACACTGAATATCATGACTCGATTCGTCGTTATCTCTAAATACTTCATAATGATAGACCTATTTCTCAGCGCTCACATCGGGGTACAGGTCAAACCGTCTCTGCGTATAGACAGGAATACCCTTCCTTGTGCTTTGAATGGTGTCATTATCCAGATCAGCATAGACAATGGTCTCTTTATCCTCCGCTTCGACCAGGACTTCCGCAGTTGGGTTGGCTATTAAACTGTGACCCCATGCGTGGTAAGTGGCATCCATATCGCGCGCTGGGCTACACAGCCCCACATACAGCTGGTTATCCACCGCACGAGCGCGTGCCAACAGAGACCAATGCATGGGACCAGTAGTCATGTTGAAAGCGCCTGGGTAGATGAGTGCGAAAGCGCCCTTTCGCGCAGCAATCATGGCCGCCTCCGGGAAACGGATATCGTAGCAGATGGCAAGGCCGATCTTTCCATAGTCGGGAAGGTCAACAATTGTCAGTTGGTTTCCGGGAGACAGGACCTCGCTCTCCTTGAATGTGATCTTTCCTGGAATATCAATGTCGAACAGATGGGTCTTGCGGTGGGTCCCTATTAACGAGCCAGTGGGGGAGAACACGAGGGAGGTATTATAGTATTTCTTCGTTGTGGGTTCCAGTTCAGGGATGCTACCTCCTACGAGGTAGGCCTTGGCCTCGGCAGCGATGGCTGACAGTGCATGATAGGAAGGGGATTGATCTTCGGTCGGGGGCGAAGGGAGAAGAGTCTCGGCGTATTTGGGGAAGTATTGGGTTCCGTATGGTGAGTTAAAGCATTCCGGGAGGACGATGAGCTTGGCTCCAGCCTGTGCTGCCTCAAGGACCTTAGTGCGAGCGTGGGCCAAATTAACGGCTTTGTCCGCGCCTACTCCATCGCACCGAACTCGCAGTTAGTACAGTGTTGATAAGGGGCCGTTTTTATGACGATCGTTTAGGACGAGTGAAACATACCGGATGCGAGCTGCACCAGGGCTAATTTCAACGGTTGCTTCAATAGAGCGGCCATGGTTGTTCAGTCCGGTAATGACGGATGCGAATACGTGTATTGAGGGAGTGTCGAAGTCTGAAGAGGAAGTCTGTGCCAGCTGCGGGGGGGGGGGGATGTACAAGTTTAGGGTATAGATAGTGTCGGGGTTGGAGACTGTTGGAGTAATGACTTAAAAGAGGAGACCCGCCACTATCACGACTACTTTAACTATCGGAGTCGGCGTCGGCACCCAACTCCGACGACCCCCGGGGCACTAACCGAGTCGTTTGCAGCACGGAGTACTAGTCTATCGCATTCATTCCTCATTCATCTTTTCCTCCAGTAACCTTAGCTGAAGGAAGTGGTCTTGACATGTCGGTCTCATAAATGATACGTAAATTATCACGATCATTTTAGTCTGACATATGCGCGCCTCGCATGGTTTCGATCCATCACAATTCTTTCGTGATCATGCAAGTCACCGAACTCAAGAGGCTGAGATTCACGACGGGATCGCATAAGAAACGAAATTAGTGTTTCATCTTAGGACAACCATTCGGATAACTCCGTAGGAACCGAGTAAGACCGCTTCGGGGGAGGATATACGCTGTAGGAGCACTAATCCTTAGCGACGATGACTATGCAGTGCAGATTAATTTATTTCATGGGCTGAATACGGGGAATTGCAAACGCTGCAAACGGCTTTTAATTGGCCGGTGTCACGTGTGACGAGTCTGGCCGCAATCGATTTGGTGAAGGAAAAACCAATAACTTGGACTAAGTAACGTTGAAACCCCTGAGAAAGAGACGCACTGATGTTCTGCTGGCTCTACCAAAGCGAGAAGAATATCACTTGAATAGGGGGGCGAAAATACCACTCTCGCGTGTTCTTTTTAATACGCCGCCTCCTACTTCTCCACATCATGACAATCCCACTGACTTATTCCATTCTATTCTCGATTCCGGTCAACGTCTCTTGAACTTACGGCGGCGGCGGTTCGATAGCCAATTGAAAGTCGTTCAACGGCCTTTCCGGGCGGAACGTTAGGGACGTTCCCCACGAACTGTTCCATTCGATTTGCCTCCCAGTGGTTCGGTGGTTCCTATTCAGGAGAGAGCGTTAGAAAAAAAAAATATTAATTAAAAAAAGAAAACAAGAAAAATCTCGCAGATTGGCCACCGGGACTAGTGGCCTTATATCTGCCTGGAACGCTCTCCGGTGTCTTTCACACCCAACCCTATGTTCCCATCCGAGCGGCATTGATATACCACACTGTGGCCTGCCTTCAGTCAAGGCTACAACATTGAATGCTGGGAGAGACAATAGTCCCCACAAGTCACCGCGTCTGATCCTCGAATTAGCACTTGGCACCCCGTATATATTCTCTTAGTGCCTTCGAGTCACCTTGGGACTACAGTATATCACAATGTTCGAGGACTTCTCTTTCTCATCCCCCTCGTCTACCAAGCCACCCCGCCTGGCGTTCGATGGGGACGACAATCTCATGGTCGACTGCGACAGCAGCCTGATCTCTCCTCTATCCTCCCGATGTCCTTCGCCTCGTTCCACCGCGACACACCGGATTCCGAGATCATTGCCTCGCTCGCGGTCCTCCTACTTCCGTTCCGCTCAGCCCCCCACCTCCGTTCCCTTCTCTGCATATGACGACCATCAGAAGCGTCTCTCAATCACCACCTTGACAAGAAAATTGCATGAACACACCATCAAGACCTCAAACAATGAGACGCAGATCGGCAGACCCGCCACCCCAACGTCGCCCCCGTCCCTTGACATGGCCGGCCGATTCCCGGGATATTTCTTGACCCCTCCAGACACAGACCACGATGACGAGGGTTCTCTAGACTCTCCGTCGCTCACCTCTGGCTCTCTCTCCCCTCAGCCTCAGTCTCCCTTCCTGAGTCCAACATCCGTCCCGTGTGATCTCTTCCCGCAAACCGCGGACATGGACCCTCTATCCCACGCTCAGGATAGTTGGAACGTCCGCGCCCAGCGCCAGAACATCTCCCGTCTCCAATGCAACCACTCCGAGTTAGAAGCCATTCGCCGGGCCCTCATCTCCGACGATGAGAAGCTGACTACCACCTTCGACCCAGACGCCTGCCATCCCAGCTCTATCCCTCCACAAAAGTCCCCCCGCCGAAGAGCGGCCACCCTCCAGCGGAGCCGGTTCCGCCCCCAATTAGGCCCTGGCCTTTTGGATCCTCCCTCCTCCGACTCCAAGGGACGAAGGATGAGCAGTGTCATCCCCGTACAGGCGTCTCGCATTGAGAAGAGCTACCATTCATCTTCGCGGGATCTGCGGAAGAAGAGTGAGCAGGGGCTGAGACGGAAGAGTCTTGTCAGTGCTGCATTGGCGTCCATGGTGGAGAAGGAATGCTGAAAAATATTCTTGTTCTCGGTTTATTTTCTGTTTGGGATCTTTCTTTCCGATGGATATATTTCACTTTCTCATCTTCTATTCTTTTTTCTTTTCAATGTCGTTACTTGTACATATTTGAGGTAGATACCCTGATTGTGTGATTCTCGGTTTGGTTAATATCGGCGGTATGGAGGTAAGGGTTCTGGTGAAAAGGTCCACAGCACAGTTGATTCGGGTTTACAGGCATAGACGAATTTGAAAAATCAGGCTATTTCGGTCTTCCACATTCTATCCCATGATTAAAAGACATCTACCACTAGGACAGACATAAATGGTATCGAAGTACACAAAAGAGAAAAAAGAAAAAAGATTCAACTGAAAGCCGTGCTTCCCAGAAGCACAAGCCAGAGCAACAAGACAGAAAAACTCAAGGTGAAAGACCGCTCACAGCAACGCTTATAACATCATCATCAACGGAGTCATAACCGCACGAATCTCACGAACAGCAAAACAAAAACAAAACCTACTTCGCCTGCTTCCCTGTTTTCCTGCGAAACAACCCGCAGAGTTTCCGCAAGGGACTGGTGGTTGACCTCCGGGTTGGACGACGGTGGATTTTGATCTCGGTTCGTGGAGTCATGGTCTGTTCGTTCGAGGGGGGTTTGGTGGCTGGGTCTATACCGATATCGAATTGCCAGAGGGCGTCGTGGGAGATCATGGGGTGGTTATCGTCGTAGACTGGGTCTCCGGGCTCGCCGAGATCACTTTCGTTAGTTGGACTGGCGCATTGTCTGGGTTTGGAGGCGAGATAGCGGGTCATGTTGAGGGTTGTTTCTTCGAGAAGCTCATTAATGGAGGGCATGAGGTGGTGGTGGAGGCCTTGGGTGTCGCCGATATCTAGTTGGGACTTTCGGTTTTCGTCTTCGAAGGCTTCTTCAGCGTGTGTTGGGGGGTCATAGGACCAAGGGTCCGATTCGATGATCACGGTGTCTTCGGTGATTGAGATGTAGGAGTCCCTGTTGTGGCCTGTGGAGAAGCTGTCGACGTCTTCGATGTACGAGACGATGCGAGCAAAGTGAAGTGATTCATGGGGATTGAGGATCTCAAACGATGTACCTTGATGGATGATGGTTGTGGTGGGCTTCTTTACGTTGAGGAGCATCGAGTCCGAGTACCGCTTTGTGTGACTATGGACAGATGCTGGGAGATTGCGTGGGACTGGTTTGGGATCTGGGTCGGGATATCTCTCGAGTCGATCCCGGAATGTGTCCTGCATGTGCGTGTGATTGTCAGATTAGCCACAAAAAGTACCATCCATAGGGCATGAGTGAGATGGCAGCTTACCAGGATTTTATGGGGGTTTTGCTTGAGGTATACATGGTCGTCGTCTACGGAGCTGGGGGTCCCCGGGGCTAAATCCGCGAGTAAGCACTGGTCTACTGGAGATATATGACGGTGATATCTCATACGGAGGAAGCCATCCAGGCTCTCAGGCTGCTCGCTTAGAGCGCTGGGTGAATGCGATGGGGATAATGGCGGCGGGCTTGACGCTGCCGATGAGACCGAGGTTGGGTACTCGTCGTAGTGGTCGCCCAGAGACATCTGGGACTGGTTCAAGTTCATAGCGGCGTTCTTTCGCCGTAGCTTTCTGATGTCCGGACTGTTGCTGGTAGCTGAGTCGCAACTTGACAGATACTGGCGGTATTCATGCAGAGAGCAATTCCCTGGCATACACATGGTGTTCAAGAATGTTGACTGGGAAGAGAAATCCCGATCTCGCATTGGAGATGATGATGGAGATGAGGGAGGATAGTGGTGATGCGGTGAAGATGGATAGAGTTAGGTCCACCGTTTGGATCTCTCACACTGCAGCTTTTGAGATCTGTAGGCTAAATTCAATAGTCGATCGTCTTTGCTGACCTGTATAAAAGAAGAGAACGAAACAGGCGGTATGTCCCGTCTCTATACTGATGCATTGGGAGACTGTCTGTGGCATTGCATAGCCCTCAATCTAGAGAGCTCAGTTGATGTTGGACAATGATGATATCAGCATCATTTGGGAGGCCTGGATCGGGACCCAAGGAAGTCAATGGTCCCGGGGGAAGTCTATTTATTTGATCGCTGGGTGGAGTTCGGGGGATATCCACTTGTCCAGGTACTGCGATCCTACACAATTTGATATTAAACAAATGAAATTGTAGTGCTGGGTAATGGAAGAGAGAAAGAAAAAAAAAAAAAAAAAAAAAAAGGTAAGTTGCGTCGTCACATTGCCAACATGCAAGCAGTATTAGTTTACTCGTAGTAGTAGTAAGAGTAGGAGGAAGTTGACCCACCAAGTATGGAAAGGAACTGGTGATGACCAGTCCAGCGCTCTGGTTGGGCATCCACTAACGTGGTCCAATCTCACCGTACAGCCGCAGCCGGATCACTCTGCGTCTCTCATTCACTGGTTGATTTCGTGAAGATCTTCGTTTCACTTTACGACCTCTTGGCCGCCTTGTTCCCCAGGAACCACTCCCATTTGTTCGCAGATTGTCTCTAACGCTCCAATCACTTAGCAGTCCTATTCTTATCCTGGCTTATACTGTGGCGAATGGTCATCTGCTTCCTTCAATCGTCTCGTTCTTTCTTTCCCTCCTTTTTCTTTTTTTCTTTTCTTTCTGCTGAATCGCATCCTATTCGGTCCCTTTTCTTTTTCTCATTCGAATAATGACCATTATCTCCCCACTCAGCCTTGTTGCATGGCCTCCCTTTTCGTATCACCGTGGAGTAACCCTGGGGAGCTGTGTCCACCTGCACCATGTAGTCCTACATTCCTGTCCGCCCTGATCAGCATTGCAGTTGTGTCCCTGATGCTGTCATGCGACCTTCTAGTACTGGTGCCACACAGATGACAGCCCCTGTCGTACTACAACCATACTCTGTATACACACACAGAGAGGAAAGGAGAACATTTTAAAGCAAAGTCTATCATGAACACCTCAACATCCTAGTCATGCTCATTTTTTGTTTACCAATCTTCCTATGCCGAGTCATATATAATCAACCATAAGCAGAATAACCGTAAGATGCCAAAACTGGTTCACTGGGGGGGTTCAAGATAGGGAAGCCCTAAAGATTGACGCCAAACCAAACACCAGTCATGCTCAATTTCAATGGGCGAGAAATAAAACCAAAGAAGAACTATCTTAAGAAAAAAAGTGTATCAGGGGTAACAATGGAAATCAAGATAGCATCGTTATATCATCATCATAAGCCAATACGCAAATGGCCGGGCGGCTAACTCGATTTCAGGTACCTGCCTGTTTATCCGTCTGCTCGGTTATGTACGGTTACGGTGAGTAACCCTTCCAATTTAAACAATGTAGCAATGAATGATTGAATCGAAGAAAATTGGCCATCCGTATCAGCAACCGTGAAATCGAACCCACCAGGGATCAATCAGTCGTGAGCCGAAATATCGGAATCGAAAAGAAAAAAAAAATTAATCTCTAATGACGTTTATATTTCTAAGAATCACAGTCAATCCATGTCACAGGGTATTGGGGGATTGAGGGGTGCAGCAAAACTTACATCTTCCATCTTCCGCCTATTGCTGGGATCCAGAGTGTTTCCGGCTCCCAGAAGTGTTTGTCCCACGGCTTTGGATACCCCGATCGCAGGACGGAGAATAACCGTTGGTGCACGTTTCCACACAGCTTTTGCAGCTGCTTTGGCACTTCCGCTCTCTACGACTTCTCCAGGCACAGCAACAATGGCATCTCGGGTTAAGAGCAAATCGCGTTCTAATCCCCTGAATGCTCCCCGAAGGCCTTGAACGACACCAACTGGCTGGTCCGCATAGAGAGAGATTTTCTTCGCCTCCTCCTCATCAACTACATCATCTTCCGCGCTAGCCAACTGCGTATTGGGGGTGGTCAACAGGTCTTCTGCGCCCTGTAGGACAGTTTGGGTACCAATGGCTAGTTTGGCACCAAGCTTAACGAGCTCGTTGGATGTAGTCTTGGCGAAGGCGAGTGCCCCCTTCTGTATACTCCGTACGATGCGACCGTCCTTGCGATACTCGCGCATGGGAACGACCACGAGATCCTTCACTCCTCCTCCCACGTTGACTAGGGACCTGATCGGCGCTAGACCGGCGAGGACCCCTGGTAGTTGGTTTCTCTTTATATCTGGCATCCATATGTCATTCAAGGTCTGGCCAAGCTTGTCAAACCCAGACACTCCATAGATGATGACATGACGCATGACCATATCTGCCCCGTCTAGAACGAAGAAATTCATAAACTCGGTCGTGCGTCCAGACCGAAGTCCGGTATAATCGACTCGCTTGGGTTTGAAATCGAGCTTGACGGGAACTGCGTTTATCTCAACTCTCTGTAAAAATGGTATGTCTTGCGGGGCGCTAGGGACAGGCGCAGAGTCATCTCGAAATTCGAAGAAACGGCACAGAAAGTCGAGAGCGTCTTGATCAACATGAAGTCTTAGGGGCAGAAGAGTGGCCTATGGTATTGTTAGAAATTATAGGGAGGCAGTTGGAAGGCTCCTGTTTTACGCACCTTTAAAACAATCTCGGATGCAGCGAGCTCAGGCACAGGCCTGACGGTCAAGATCTCCAAGTGCACCATACTGGTTCCGCTTTCTTTCTCACCCACTTCATGCATGTAGGTCGCAAATTTCTTCCAGGTTGACGTAGGCACATGATCAAATATCTCCAAGTCATTGACTCGAACATCCAAAGAGCTTTGCGTCTCACCGGAGTCCGGTGGGAAGACGACAAGATCTGCGCATATGCCTTTAAGCTCAAATGTCATTTTATGATATTTGCTCCTGGATAGCCGCAGTTTCTTTCTAAAAGAAGGCGACTGGCTTTGTCGTGCCGTAGCCCCAGTGACTGTGGTTGTAGTTGCATAGCTGCCAGTCTCACTGACAAGATCATCAATGTTGCGGTTGATATCGCTGCGAAGCTCTCGCGGATCCTTGTTAGCAGGAATACCTATATATATTGAGTTAAACAGACAGTCGCCGATGACTGACTCCTCGTCCTCGTCGAAGCTTGGGGAGGCTCTATTCGCCCTTGCTCGCCGGTCCGTAGCCTTTTTCTCCACGTCTTTGACCGCCTTGGATATAGTATCTCTTGTCCGCTGCCAGTCATAGCCATCGAATAGGTTCCAGATGACATGAGCATCACGGACCCTGATTCGCAGAGGGCTCTTCTGAAGCTTCGTGTCGTCCGAAAGGCCGTAAGTGTTCTCGGTAGAATCCCACCTGTGTGCTGTACCCCCAACAGCTGACTGTGTTGCAAAATGATCATCACGAAATTCGAGGTCGGAAATACTGGATGATACATAGTACTGAGAGTGAAAACTATCAAGAAGCTCATTTGATCCTGAGGTCGTCATAGCCTCGTGCAGCGATCCGGCTCCAGATGTTGGTTTCACTGGATGAAAGTCACTTACGTACTCGATCTCATCCTCGATATGGCCCTCTTTATCCTGGATATTTTCGGCGGAATCGCCAGTTGTTCCAGAGACTGCTTCCGGACCTGAGCTTGAATCTAGAGCAAAGGCATCGCCGGAAAACGATGCTAACATGTCTTGAAGTGGAAGAACCTCAGTCCGATACTTCTTGGTCACGCTTGGAGGAGTAGGAGGCTGCAGCCCATTCACTATGCTGATGAGAGTTTGTGTTGAATCGGCACATGTTTCAAGAATCAGCAAGTCATCCCTGAGTTCCACATCTAGCGACTGTGTCCCGTCTTCGCTCGAGCGTAGCAATTTCACACTAGCCGTTGCTGACGATATTGATGAAACGGTAACAAAGCCCATGTCAATGAAGGATTGGACCTGACTACTCGGTGGAGCAGTTGAATTTCTTCGATGTAAATCGTCTGTATTCCCCATATTTCGGACATCGTCGATAATCATGATTGACGCTTTGCGAAGATCTAGTGTGGCCTCAGAGGACGCTTCATCGTCCATGGTTCCCGAGAAATTCGCGTTCGTGAGCACGACAAGGCCTTTCGCCTCTGAGCCACGAGGGTTGAGACCAATGACGCAGTCTCGCAGGGCTAATGCCAATCTAGTGGGCCGTACAGGACTTTTAGGGCTTCCCGGCCTTATTGCTGATTGAGATTCTTTTGAGGGCTGTAGCTCCGCCAGATTACCTATGGACTGTGCCATATGGGCAGCAACATCGCCGGTCGTCGAACTTTCATTGAGACCGAGAAAGGCAATCACTGCTGGAACTGTGTACTCTGCGCGTAGGTTATGCATTTTGACCTTGATGGTGGGTTCCATTTCATCGGCAATGAAACGGGCCATGAGCATAGGGTGCGGGATTTGACCTGATCTTTGCTCGGCGCTCAACGGTAGGGCTTCGCCTAAAAGCTCTTCAGTTCCGTTCCTGAGAACCATCGCCGATCCAACTTGAGCGGCTACAAGCGAAGGGATGCTTATATACGCCACCTCGGCATTCTTGAGGCGTGCTGTTATATCCCCAACTTTACCTCCAACGTTTACCTGGGCTTCAAAATCTCGGATCAGATTTAGAGTCAAGAGACCAGGTCGGTCGTCTTCAGGCAAGTATTTCGCAACATTAGACAGCCTACTTATTTCATCACCAAGCTGTGGTAGCGAGTCAAAGTCAGTGATGCGCGAAATCATGATATTCGCCCCAGCGATTGTAGTACGAAGCACAGAGCCTTGTCGTCGCTGTCGGAAAAGCGTATCCAGCAT